TGTCTCTCTCTCTCTCTCTCTCATTGAGGAAGATGAATCTAACCCAAGGGTGAATAGTAGGGCCTAGTCAAGGGTTCAGATGCAAGTAATACCTTCCAATTCCGCTTTCAAAAGGAATAAAACAGATATCATGATCCACCCCATGTGTCCAACACCACTGGATACAAATAAAGTGTAAATTATGAGACTTCTTTGATTCTACCACATATCAGAAGAAAACAATAAAGGCAATATAGTAAATGTCTATTCCTCAGATTCCTACAGGTAATGACAGATCATAAAATTATTACAAAACAATAAAACACCCTAGTTGTATACTATAACTACTCCTCAGACTGAGTTACCAAATTCAAATTAGCTTACAGCATTTTGTAAAAAAATTCCTACATTCAAACAACCATAGCAAAACCTGTGAGAGTCAAAAAGTATACCTGTGCTGTATATTGGAAGATGTCAGCAATAATTTTCATGGATGGTTCTGGAGGAAAAATGTAAGTATTTCTGACCATAAACTCCTTTAGAATATCATTTTGGATTGTACCAGTAAGTTTCTCTTTAGGTACGCCTTGCTCTTCTCCAGTTACTATAAAAGTTGCAAGAACTGGGATAACTGCTCCATTCATGGTCATGGAAACTGACATTTTTTCTAAAGGAATTCCATCAAAAAGAATTTTAGTATCTTCCACAGTGTCAATAGCAACTCCAGCCATTCCAACATCACCACGAACTCGGGGGTTGTCTGAATCATAGCCACGATGTGTTGCCAGATCAAAGGCAACTGATAATCCCTGCTGACCAGCTAAAAATATAAAGAAAAATAATGTAAGGTTAAAAAGTCTCGCATTGAGGTAACTGATTAACACTATGAAGAGTGCTGATTCGTCTCAACATAGCATACTTTTATAACATTGTTATGTCCAAACATGCCAATACAAATTTACCTAAAGATATTTAAGTTCCTAAGAGAGTCAACTGTTTCTCATGTGCTAAAGTACAGAAATTAAGTTCTGAATCTCACTATAAGAATGGAAGGAACACAATATCTGCCCTATCTCAGTACCAGCTGAGATATTCTATTTTTTTAATGTCAAAGTTTTTGATCAAAATATTTATATAATTCATGAAAAGATCTAACTTTTCAAATATAGTTAACATATTTAATATTTAACATTTGGATGCTTACTTTTTCTTGTTATTTTATCTTACATGATCATAATGGGATGTGTTGACTATCGTGGCATTCTGGGAACAGAATTATAAAAACCACACAAAATTTTTAAGTAACTAAAATGGTCTACACTAAATATAAGTTCAATCCTCCATGGGCAATAAAAACATAAAAATCCTCAAATTTAACATTCAAAAATATGATTATATTATAGATAAGCAAGAACTAGTAAATACTATTTTCAGAAAATGAATGCCAAATTGTACTGAATTTATTGGCAACACATTAAATCATTTACTAGTTCTTTTGAGTATTATTTAAAATACCCTCCCATCTAGCTCCTAATCTAATAATGCTATATCTCTTTTTTCCATACAATTTCATTTTACCTGTCTTTTTATATAATGTGCACATAGGAGTTGTTTATTTTCAAGGATTTAGCACTTTATTCTGACTCATTTGTTCATTTGACCATGGAAAGTCAAATATCCCTTTTTTTTTTCAGAGTATAGTCTTTACAAATTTATAAAGTGAATATCATCTTTACAGAGATTAACTAGCTTCCCTTCTGAAAAAAAAAAGTCACGGGGCCGGCGCTGAGGCTCACTTGGCTAATCCTCCGCCTGCAGCGCCGGCATCCCATATGGGCGCTGGGTTCTAGTCCCGGTTGCTCCTCTTCCAGTCCAGCTCTCTGCTGTGGCCTGGGAGGGCAGTGGAGGTTGGCTCAAGTGCTTGGGCCCTGCACCCGCATGGGAGACCAGGAAGAAGCACCTAGCTCCTGGCTTCGGATCAGCGTAGCTCTGGCCGTAGCGGCCATTTGGGGAGTAAACCAACGGAAGGAAGGAAGACCTTTCTCTCTGTCTCTCTCTTTCACTGTCTAACTCTGCCTGTCAAATAAAAAAAAAAAATGTTAAAAAAAAAGTCACGATTAGGAGGTTTATAAATATGATGTCTCAGAGTAAAAACTTACCCTTAATATTATCCTTATAGAACTTATTGCTCTCCTCCACAGTGCTAAAGCCAGCATACTGGCGGATTGTCCAGGGCCTAAAGGTATACATGGTGGGATATGGCCCACGTGTGAATGGCTTCACTCCTGGAAGTTCTTCAGGTAAGTCCTTAGTATCTCTCTTGGAATATAAGGGCTTTATAGAGATTCCTTCTGGAGTGTGCCACATTAAGTCTTCTGGGTTTTTGCCTTTCAGCTGCTTTTTAGCCAGGGCAGCCCATTCTGGATGAAGTGGTTGTTGCTGATGTAGACATCGTTGCCTTATTATCCTGGAGCTTGTTGGTTCCTTTAACCCCCTCAGGTAATGGGGTGAACGTGAAAAAAGCTGAGTCTTAGCCCTCAACATGGTGGAGCAAGGATACACTCAACAGGAATAAGAACGGACCTAGAAGAGAAACACGGGAAGAGATGGGAGCTATTTGGTGAGAAGGGAAAAGGAAAAAGGTATATCAGTCTGATTTTACCTCTTCCTCTGTTCTGCTTCCTGTAACTGATACTTTATAATGCTAGCTTCTCTTCTCCATAGTCACCATCCTTGTTCCAGCTCCAGTCCTCTTCTTCCGTGGCCTCTTAGCTGGTCTTACTGACTATATTGTTAATTCCCTCTAATCAGTTCTACACCAGGACAGCATTGCAAATCTGACTCTATTACATGCTTCACAAAATGTTTCAGAGGCTCTTAGTTCTGTGGAGGATATAGTAAAGCATCCTAATTTTTTTTTTCATTCAAAATGTCTACTTTGTAACAAACATTGGGTTAGGTAACAGAAAAATGTGGTGAAAAGACAAACAGGCATTGGGCATTCAAAGCTTACATGACCTGGTCTCTGCTTACCTCTTGGACTTATATCTGCCTTTGTCCTCTAGACGTTTGTGTTCTAGAAATATTAGATTACTTACTGTTCACTGCAAATACCCAGGTTCTATGTATTAGCTCTTGCTCTTCTTTCCATTCAGAATCTCCTTTGGTTAACTGAGTGAAGGCATTATCTCCAATATGCAAGGTTTCTATGTGCCAAGTACATAGAAGACTCTAAGGACTTCTCAGAAAGTAGCAGTTTTAATCCTCACAACACCAGCATTTTACAGATTAGGAAACTGAGGTACAGAAGAGCCAGCAGTTGAACCTAGACAGCTAGGTTTCAAGTCTTCGCATTTAACTAATATGCTCATAAACTCTCCATGAACACATAAGTTGGGCTGAATAACTTCTGTAGTAACTTACTTCTCCAGCAATTTATAAAGTATTCCAACACTAAGACTGTATACTCCTGATAAACAGCATAGATTTATACTATGTGATTGGGTCCAATGTCAGCATTTTGTAGATTTTTAGAAATCAAGATTCAGAGACAAAGGGCTTGATCAAAATCCCACATAACAAACTATTCGCCTGAATTCCTAAATACTTGTCAGAGTCACACAGCCTCAAGATAGAGCCTATTATTTTAAAAGCTTCTAGATGTACTCTTTATTAACGTATTCACTGCACATTATTCTGTATAAGACAATAACTAAAGTGAGTGTAAAATTATATTTTTCATACAATTTCTTAACTATCAAATTAATGAAGTTTAAAAGAAAAAGATATAACACTCATTAAGGAGTTTCAAAACAAGACACAAACTACTAGTGTGAGTATGAACTGATTTTACTACTTTAAAAAGTAAACTGTAACATTTGTAAAAAGTCTTAGAAATGTCTCAGCCATTCCACTGCAAAATATCATTCCTGGGAAAGTTGCTGTAATAATAGTTTTCATAAGGTCTGACAATGTCAGAGTAAGTGAATCATAGCATATACAAATGATAGAATTTTATGGAGTTTTTAAACTATATTTAGGAAATAGACAAAAATAATCCTTGGTGTCAGAAGTTGGAAGAGTAGTTATTTGTGGTAGCTAGTACAGAAAGAGAACAATAGGGGAGTTTTGAGTAGCAGCTGATAACTCAAGTTTTTGTGAAAATTCACCAAACTACAATTATAACATGTGTACTTTCTAGAAGTATATTATACATAAGTAAAAAGTTAAAACTATATTATGCCTAGTTTCTTACAAGGGTGGGAGGAGGGACAGGCTCAAACAGTATTAAGCAAAAGAATCAGGATACATCATTGTAAACACAGTATCTCCAAATAGAAAAAAAGCAATAGAACAAAGTCTAAACAGAAACACAACAAAAACAGCACCAATTTTTTAAAAGTTATTATGACTTTTATTTTATCAAATTCATGGGGTCCTTGCCATCCACCTTTTGGTAAGCACTGCTTATACTTAACAGCTTAAAAGGTGAACAAGAAAAATAATGAAGTTACAACCGGACCATTTTTGTAGTAATGATATAAAAGGTAAATATGAAAACTGCCTGAGGCTTCAATCTGGAGAGGAAACATCCCGTTCATTCTACTCGTAATATTCATAAGATTGTCTTAAACCTGGACAAATGCTAGTAAAGAGCTTTTACAACGATTTCCTGACAATCAACATGGCAAACTGGCAGAGGCAGGAACAGATACCATTTTTTTTTAGATAAGAAGGCAACTATTATTGGTGGCAATGGGCCCTCAAAATTTTCTCTGAATATCCATCAAGAGAGATCCCAAGCATTCAAAGCACTATGCAAAATGAGTACAAGTTACTGATGATTAGGATTTCTTAAAGAGCAATGACGAAACCCTACTAGCTGTAAAACGCGTCCGTCAAGAGAAAATAAGTTCTGAAAGAAATAACCTGCAAGGTGTATATATTCACACGTGGTTCCACATTGGCATTTCAAGAAGGGCTAAATCAACTCCAATGTTAGCCAATCTGGTTGGAGATGGCAACATAGCACATGCAAATTAAAGGTAATATTAGCATGAAGTAATCATTAAATACAAAACAGACAGGGAGAAAACATACAGATTTTAATATTCCAGGGCTCCGAACTTCTAAAAAAGTGCTCTCTTTCTAGACAAAATTGAAAACGTTAGTAATTTCCGCTTCAGTTTAGACTTCTCTTTCCTATCCCATCTGTCACTCTAACCCCACCCACAGAAGTCACGTTCAGTCTCGCCACCTCTTAAGCAAACAACACCATGAACCAGAACCTAGAAGAGACGCAGCCGTAGATCCAGTGCATCCCTCGGGAATTGTACAAGGCATGACCTCTGCCCATGGGAACACTTCGGGTGCTTTGGTGAGCACACATGACAGAGCCAATGGCTCCGGGGAGTGCTAAAACCACTCTCCCCGGCAGTACTTCCGAATTCTCAAGGACTTCGCCGGAAAATAGTGATCGGTCGGGATGAGAATCTAAACCCGAGAAGAGTGGGAACCTGTCACAGCAGAAAGTAAAAGAAGGAGGAAATAAAGGACAGAGGCTCACAGGAGAGTAGAGGTGCGCGAGAAGCCACAAGAATTTAGCGATGCGAAAGGCTGGCGTGACTCCAGGTGCACAGAGCTACTCACTGTCCCGTCCGTTCCTCTCTGTCCTGTGGGTGAGTACCACTGCTTTTCTGCGCCCGGGGCAGGAGTAGCCAGGGATCCACTCAGCGGGACGCTCTTTTCTCCCGCACTGCGCAAGTGTAAACACCTGGCAGAGCGTTGGGGGGCGGAGGCCGACACCGCCTTCCCTCCAGCCAATCAGATCGCGCTCTCGAGGGCGCGTTTCTGATGACGTTACGAGTAGGCCTAGATGCCCGCCTCCTTCCGCTTTCTTACGGTCTACTTCCGGGTCTTCTCGATTTTCGAGTGTTTGGGCGCGAATTACTTGGAAGGTTGAAGAAGCGTCAGTCTGTGGTGAGTCGCGTCTGCGCTTAATGCCCTTGGGTCCGAGTGGAGGGCTAGATTCTGTAGTCCACGTGTTTATGATACACAGGTTTATTAAAGGAGTATTATCTAGCTTTTGAAGAGAAAACGTCTGGTATTCAAACAGATCTGCCCTTTAGAGCCGGGCAGAGACATTTGGTTAGGCTTGAGGGAGCGAGGCCACACATGGTTTTTCCATGTTTCTCTGATCGTCATCAGCATTCTTGAGTCTCTCCCGCAGCCTGTAGTGAGGTTTGCTTTGGCAGGGTTCGTGCTCGTCTTTTGTGCCTACTCGGAGGTGTAGAATGAGATACTTGTTCAGCAGTTTGAGCAAGCGGGTGAGGAAAACAAGACTGCCCGGATGCCTCCTTTCTACGGTGCGCTGGTATTCCAGTACACCTGCAGCCGGAAACCACCGGCCCAGCCTTCCTTCTTTTCACTCCTCCCTTGCACATTAAAAGCCTCGTTAGAGTTTTCCTGTCCCTAAACATTCCAGTTTCTTTCGAACTGCCCTGTCATTCAGCTTTTACTGTTTTCTCTTGAATATTTCATTTTTCTTACTTTTGGCTAACTATATCAAAACATAGTTCTAGTATTTTTCTCTGAATACTTTATATTCCCACACATACACATACAAACCAGTTGGAGATAGTAATTTACTCATTTGTCTGATGGAATTTATCACATTGTGTGTATTGTATTCCTCTCTCCCTACTGACTAGGCTGTGGTTTCCTGTAGATCTAGAAATATTGCCTTTCTGTTCATTTTTATATAGACTGCATTCTGCACAACCGTAATGGAAATGATAGCTTTTATTTAATGAGTTATTACTGTGTCCTAAGTGCCATATATATATACACATGTTGTAATCTGTACTAAATCATTTTGGCCTTACAAAGTCTTTGACGTTGATATTTTTATTAACCCATTTTACCAGTGGGGAAACCGAGTTGATTTACTTCCCCAAGCTGGTACAGCTAGTTAAGTGGCAGAGCTAGAATTTGAAGCCTGAACAATGTATTCTCATCTGTGTCTTGCCCTTAACCACTATGGCACTGGATCCCAGCCTAGGTCTGTTTTGCCCCAAGGGACCTTGACAATGTCTGGGAACTACACTGGTTGTCACTACTTTGGGGTGGGGATATTCTATCTTCTAATGGATGGAAAACGTGAATGCTGCTAAACACCTTAAAGTGCAGAGGACAGCCTCACACAGCAAAGAATTATCTCTTCCAAAATGTTGGTAGTGCTAAGGTTGAGAAACTTTCGTGCCTGTGATCAATTGCCTCAAATAGGTACCAGCAAAAACAGTACTTAGCAAACTGGGGCAGAGGGCTGATTTTGTTTTTGTTTTTGGGGTGATACAATGTGTCAGTGTAGGTTCTTGAATGGTAGCAAATGTACCACTTTGGTATGAAATGGTGATAGTGGAGAGATTGGAGTGGCTGGGTGTCGGCAAGGAATAAATAGGAACTCCTATTTATTTTGCTGTAAACCTAAAACATCTGAAAAGTAAAGTCTATTTAAAAATAAATAATATATTAATTAGAAAAATGAATTTCAAAAGACCATAGTCAAGGCCAATTATTTTCAGGTAAGATTAAACACAAATAAAATTCTTCTGTCAAATTGCTATTGAAACTTTTGTTACTCTCATTTTCTGTACTTGAAAAGGATTATACCAGTTAGTAAATTAAATTAAGAATTCAATGTGCTGATTGCACATTAAAGAGAAACTATCAAGGAAAGATGATTAACAAAACCAAATTGTTTTGGCCGGCGCTGCGGCTCACTAGGCTAATCCTCCGCCTGCGGCGCTGGCACACTGGGTTCTAGTCCCGGTCGGGGCGCCTGATTCTGTCCTGGTTGCTCCTCTTCCAGTCCAGCTCTCTGCTGTGGCCCGGGAGTGCAGTGGAGGATGGCCCAAGTCCTTGGGCCCTGCACCCACATGGGAGACCAGGAGAAGCACCTGGCTCCTGGCTTCGGATCAGCGCGTTGTACTGGCCACAGCGTGCCAGCTGCAGCGGCCATTGGGGTAAACCAACAGAAAAAGAAGACCTTTCTCTCTCTCTCTCTCACTGTCCACAATGCCTGTCCAAAAAAAAAAAAAAAAAAAAAATGTAGATAAGTGGCAAGAGCCCACAGACTCAGAAGTAAAATGTAGTAGTTAGGAAGACTTTGGGATGGAGGTGGCTCATGATCTGAGAGGGTAGGAAGAGATGGAAAAAGCAGCTCAGGAAAAGCATACATTGTATGCAAGGGAGGCTGAATTACTCAAAGTGTATTAAGAAAATCAAATCTAGTTAGGGAGATAAAGTTAAGGAGTAATGGGAGAGGGGCCAGCACTATGGCTTAGTGGGTTAGAGCTGCGGCCTGCAACACCTGCAGCCCATAGGGGCTCCAGGTCAATTCCTGGCTGCTCCACTTTCAATCCAGCTCCCTGCAGATGTGCCTAGGAAAGCAGCGGAAGATGGCCCAAATGCTTGGACCTCTTCACGAATGTGGGAGACCCAGAAGAAGCTCTTGGCTCCTGGCTTCAGTCTGGCCCAGCTCTAGCCATTGCAGCCATTTAGAGAGTGAACCAGTGGATAGAAGGTCTGTCTCTCTCTCCCTCCTTCCCTCCCTCCCTTTCTGTCGCTCCTTCTCTCTCTCTAACTCTGCCTTTTAAATTAAATAAATCTTAAAAAAAAAAAAAAAGACAAGTGGATGTAGACTTTACCTCTAATTAATAGTAATAAAGAAGAATTTGCATCACCATTCATCTGATATCTCTGCCCTTACTTGCCCCTTACCTCAGTGCTTTTATTCAGTTAGCAAACTGAACTATCCTACGTGTCAACCCTTCAGGAGAGATCCAGAAGTGGCACTCTCAGTATAGGGCATGGATGTCAAGTGAAGGAATCAGATGTCTTAGGAATGGAACAAAGCATAGAGACTGAGTGTAAAAGAAGATAGCACATTGTTGGAGACCTGAGTAAAACTGATATTTTGTTACCTGCTACGATTTTAACTGATTTGACATGTAGTCCCTAAAAGTAGCTTGTGGTCATTCAGCTAATTTTTTCCCACTATATTTTTCAGTCTTACTGAAAAAGAAAAAGAAAGAAAGAAAAAAGTTGATGCTTTTAAAATGTAAGGAAATAGATTTACCAGAGTACTTCCTTTATTTTCTGTTTCTAGCTCTACAAACTCTACATATATATTTGAACTATATTGATGTAATTAATTCTGGATGTTTAGGAGAGTGCTAATGACTAATTTATATTGGTAGCTTTATACACATTAAAAAAAAGTCACACCCATACATGTGTACACATATTCCTTGTATACTGCACCTAACCCTAAGCTATACTATTTATGGTCTAATATAAAAAAGTAGCCTATTCCCCTGTTCCTTTTATCAGAAATGAAATTGTTAATAAATGATTATTAGAAAGGGAAAAGGAGTTACTCTCATTCTTGTCACTGACATCGGAGAACAGGATAATCAGTATCCCCTGTACCCTTGTTAAAATGCAGATAGCACAAATTGTATTACAACTTAAATCCTTATAAGTGACAGACCATCACATGAGTTTCCACAGCATAGAGTGACAATATAATTCTAAAAAGTATCTCCTTTAGTCTTTGGCGTAAGTTGAGGAATGGTAAGTCCTTTACTTAAGACCTGAGTAATACTCTTTGGACTGACATTATACTTAACCACTTTATGTTTTCATTATCTTAAATTTAAACAGGGAGATATTGTTATTGTATGGGGGAGTATAAAGTAAGAGGTTTGAAAGCTTTTCTAAAGCCATACAAATGGAAGTAATTTCAAGGAATAAAATTTAATTAGATAATTTGGTTAGATATTCTCTTTCTGGTGACAGCCAAAGTTAGTTGTATTGAAATGCATTTAAATGTTTTTAAAACAGCATACTATTTCCAAACTTTTATTTATTATTTTTTAAAAAAGAATTTGGAACTATTATAGTTAATCTTTAAAGCAAAATATTTTGTAAAGCTTTAGCATTTTTCTGTGTTCTTTTCATCTGCACAGATGTTTGAAGAACTGTTATAATTGCACTATTTAGATGAAGATGCCTGGTAAAACAAATGTTTCCAAGAAGTCTCAGCAGGTAAAAAGAAATCCAAAAAGAAAAATTGATGATGAAGAAGTAAAGTTGCCAGAGAAAGAGGTAATGAAAATATCAAGTTTATCATTTAGAACTGTTAGAAATATCATCTGTTCTTTGAAAAAGTATGTGAAGACTAAGAGTCGGTTTTACTACAAATTGTAATTCATATCATTGTGTGGGAGCTCTTGCAACATGATTTGTAAAGTTACCAGATAAAAATTGTTGTTTACTTCAGTTTCTAAAAGGCATTTACCATAGTATTCTTTGGAGAAAAGAGTATCATGAGGCATTGCTAGCATGTTTAAAATGGAAGACCAGAAATAAAATGGACAAATCCATTTGTTAAAAGACATTTGTTAAATGAAAATGAAATATGTCTGTTGGTTGACTAGATTTTTATTGACATAGAGAAAAGGTAGTTTGGGAGGAATTAGCTCCTTCCTACCATCATCTTGCCCCTCTTTTAAAAAAAGAGTAAATGATTTACTTAGGGATGGGTTTTGTTTGTTTGTTTCTTGTTTTTGCCTGGGTTTTACCCTATTTGTTAGGCAATGCTTATATTTGTTTTGTAGATAAAGTATGTAATACTTTGGCTGTAAGAGTAAAGATTTAGTTAAAACATTTTTTGATGAAGTATAAAATTCTTTCACCATTGTCCAAGAACCACTTTCTTATATCCTCTGCTTGTGTGCCACATAAAAGTAGTAATGTATTTTTGTTCTATCAGAAAGTATGTGGATACTGTTAGATAAACAAGACAAGTCTGTGGCAAAAAAAAAGGCTTTTTTATCTAACATTTTATTCTGTGTGTGTGTATATGTTTTCTCCTATAGGTTAGAAAAACAGTAAAAAGAAATAAAAATCATACAAAACGTCTGTCTTCTGAAGGTAGTTATTTCCTATATACTGTTTAACCTGTGTCTTTCTCAAGCTTGTGTGTATTTGTGAGAAAGTTCTCAGCATCTTGCTTATGAATTCCACAATAGCAAAAGATAGTAATAACTGCATTGCATTTTTGGAAAAATATGTACTACTAGTTACTCAGGTAATTTGGTCAGCTGAAATTTTCTTAGCATCTCTAGTAAAATACTGTTGTGGCTTCTTTGCCACTAAGTTGATAGGAACTAGTTTGGAGTGAGTTTTTTTGGAGTAGACATCTTTTCTTTTCTTTTAATATATTTATTTATCTATTTGAAAGGAAGAGTTAGAAAGAGAGAGAGAGACAGAGATCTTCCATCTACTGGTTCACTCCCCAAGTGGCTGCAACAGCCAGGACTGGGCCAGGCTGAAGCCAGGAGCCAGGAGCTTCTTTCAGGTGTCCCATATAGGTGCAGGTGCCAGCCCCACTGTATTTTCTTTTCTTTTCAAACACTTATTTGTTTATTTGAAAGGCAAAGTTACAGAGAGAGAGAGAGAGACAGAGGCAGAGGCAAAGAAAGAGAAATCTGATACAGTCCCCAGGTTGCTGCGTTGGCCAGGAGCTTCATCTGGGTCTCCCACATATGTAGCAGGGACCTAAGCACTTGGACCATCCTCTGCTGCTTTCCCAAGCACATTAGCAGAGAGCTGGATCACATGTGGAGCAGCTAGGACTTGAATCAGTGCCCAAATGGGATGCTGGTGCTGCAGACAGGGGCTTAACCCACTTTGTCACTGTGCTGGCCCCCCGGTGTATTTTCTTAAGCATTGCTTCTTTGTGAAAGGATTCCCTACCTCTCTTCACTCAAGACCAGATTGTGGTTTTATACTTCCATAGCAAGCGGTACTTCTTTTTTTTTTTGGCCTGTTTTGCACATCTGTAATTTGTTTAGTATTCTTTCTCTCTAAAACTAGTTTTAATGACAGCCGATACTATATCTCCCTTGTTTATTTCTTTTAAGTTTGGTCAACACTGAATATTGTGGTTTCGTTGAGCTGTTTTGTTCCAGTTGCCATTTGCTATTTGATAGAAATAGTTTTCTAGTCTTCCCAATGAAACCTTTAAGGAATTCAGGTCTTTTTTGAAAACCAAATTTTTAATAATTATAGCTTTATTCTTCACTTTAAATTATTTGCTTTGAGTTTATATTTTAGTATTAGTTAATAGTATTCCAGTTAACCTAATAGCAACTTTATATTGAACACCTGACATGCTTTAGCTGTGCACTACAAAATAAACAGTTATACAACAAAATAAACAGTTATACAACTTTATTGTATTTGATTCTTATATGTACATAAACTTTTTAAATTGAATAAATCAATTTTTAAGTAAAAACATGCAACCTTCTGGATTGAACAGTCTCTTCTATCACCAATGACAGGGCAAACAAATCTAAAACGGGTAAAGATAAGCTCCACCAAGAGAAAAACTTGGCAGCCTCTTTCAAGGAGTACCAGAGAGCATTTGCAAACTATGATGGAATCAGTAATAATGTAAGTCTAAATACTTCTGTTTCACTCTTGGTTCCTACGTATGTATTTGCCATAAACATCTTTCTAAATATTACTATCTATCTATCTATCTATCTATATATGGAAATAGAGCAATTTTCTATCTCAGAAGAAGATATTAGCCATCAATAAAAAAAGTTTTACTTCTAGAAACTTGGAATTCCATCAGTGAAATAAAAACCGAGTCTATGTGGCCTGATCTGTATATAAAATTTTAGCTTGTTTTGTCAATAGAGATTCTTTAATAAGAAGTTACGTTGAAAGTGATACTTCATATGGATGCCACTATCTTAGAGGGGATACAGAAAAACTAAAACTATTCTGCTGTCATGGAACTGAACTTTGTCAGAGGATTCAGAAATATAAATTAATTATTACTCTACAATATAATAGAAATAACAAAAGAAAAACTTTAATGTACCCTTGTTTAAGATGTAGTTAATTTAAAAGGAAAATTGATTGATCCTGCCTAACGAGTGAATGGGACATGTCAGAGAAATAAGAGAGAAAAAATACACATTGTATTATTTGTGTTTTAAACTAATATTTAGTTTTTTTTTATTTTCTAGAACAATTTTGAGTAATAGTATTAAAGACAAAGAACAAATTCAATATCATCTCAACTGTCTGAAGAAAAGGTAATGTAGTTATGAAATTGGAAATGGTTAGAAAATAATTTTGCTAAAACAGACATTGTTGGAATGTAAAATTTTTTTAAGATGTTGAACAATTTGGAAATATATATTCTTTCTCCCTAGATGTTTCTGATAAGTTTCACAGAAGTTTGCAAAAGTACATCACACTGTACTATGTTGATATTTGAAAATTATTTTCTCAACTACTTTGTTTCATTTTGTACCACGTTCCTCTATCTGATATTTTTGCTAATGCTGTTTTTCCTTCACTTCATATTGTATTCCATTGTTTGCACAAGCAAGACATAATTGTTTTCTGTGATATTATAGCTTTTCACCTGTGGCAAGTCACTAATAGAGGTTTTTTCTCAAATGTTCTTTTAAAAAAAAAAAAAAGATTTAAGTATTTTTTTGAAAAACAGAGTTACATAGACAGAGCTCTTCCACCTTCCAGTTCAACCAGTTCCACTCACTCCCCAAACGTGTGTGTGTGTGTGTGTGTGTGTGTATGTATTATATCTCAAGGCCTGCTTGTTTTCTCACTTTTACTTTCACAACTCTCTTTAGTTCCCAGAGTAACCATACCAAAGATACTGTAACTTCTAGTGATACAGCAGAGGAGTATATAGCAAACTGATCCTAATGGACTCTAATAAATTTTGTAGGGTGGCATTTTTGAAAGTATATTTGAAACACTTGTTCTTATAGATAATCACTGAATAAAAGTCCTGTTTGAGAAGCAATATTTGGGCACCTTAACATATAAAAAGCCCTGTAGTAAGTAAGTTTGTTTCACTTTGTCTAACCTAGCACATCCCAAATTGATATTCACCATAGGAACTCTTTTTCATACATTAGTCGCTTCTCTTCTTTTGTCTGCATGATGGTTCCTTTCTTTTAGTATATTTTTTTAATTTTCAGTGGTTCTCAGTAGATTAAAACTGTGGTCATAGGCAACTCCCTATATATTTTTTTTTAGTCTTGTGAAGAAAGAAGAAATGACCCTTAGTTTCAGTTAGAAACTTCTGAGAGGTAGTCTCTGATTGGTCCATTTGAGGGGATAAACCTATCCTTGTACAACCTATCCTTGTACTGATTTTGTGACAACAGCTACAGAGAGTGTGATTGATACAATATGCCTACCACAGTGATCAAACATGGTGTTCCTAGGCAAACAAAATTGTTAGTCACTATAGTTTCTAGAAGAAACTGCTCTATAAAAACATTTTATAAGTGGTTATTATGTGTTGTTGATACACTTTAATTAACTTTTAGAACAAACTTCCTAGAAAGAGACCTTCTCTTCTGGGTTTTTTTTTTTTTTTGCCAGTAGCAGGCTGTTTTGATTATAACTGCCCTGTAGTATATCTTGAAATCTTGATAATAGTTTAGAACACAGCTCTTTAGTCTTAGTATTTTATCTGTATTAAACTTTTTGAAACTCAGTTTTCTTTGAAATTGCTTTGAGTAACAAGTGAAAATTCTTGTATTGGTTGCATTCTCTTAAATAAATGTGATTTAAGGCTCAGGGTCAAAGTGCCAGTTCAAGTCACAGGCTGCTCCACTTCAGATTCAGCTCCCTGCTAATGTTCCTGGAAAGATGACTGCAATACTTGGACCCTTACCACCCATGTAAGAGACCCAGATGGAGTTCCGAGCTCCTGGTTTTCATTCTGGGACAGACCCCACTGTTTTCATGTGAAAAGTTAACCAGCAGATAGAAGATCTCTTTATTTGGCTCTCCTTCTCTCTGTCACTTTGCCTTTCAAATAAATAAATAAATGATGTTTTGATTGTATTCTCTAGGTTGCTACAACTGTATGAAACTCTCAAAGCCCCTTCCAAAAAGCTAAAAGATTTAACTAATGTGTCAAGTCTACTGAATATGGAAAGAGCACAAGAAAGAGTTAATGAAGATGGTCTGACATTACTACAGGTATGAAATTTGAAGAGAATCCATAATTAGAGGGATTAGGGAAAAGGAAGAGATTAAAAGTATTTAAAATTAACATGATATTCTTTCAGTATTGAATGCTAATTCTTGGGCAAACTTTTTCATTAATTTTTTTTTGGTTATTGTTTAATCAAAGTCAAAAGTTTGCTTGACTTTCGGACCTTTAAGGTTGAAGTTTTTCTGATTTATTTGTTGTCAAATAGCAGTCCTGTTCTCACCAGACTACTAACTTGAACTGAACTATCTTATTATTTCTAATTAACAAGTTATAGAAACTTCTCACTAAATGAAATTTCAAAACATATTTATTTTTCCTTATATATGACAAGAAAATACAATCATCATCATCTTTGTCATTATAATAGCTAATGTGTACTGAATATTATAATATAGTAATATCCTTTACTTCTTTCAATGGCTTAAAGAGTCTATAACTTAAATAATCATCATTTCACAAATGCAGTAAAAAGAATACTACTATTTGTAACTGAGCTTTCAGCAAACTGCTTAAACGTGAGACATAAACCTTAGGCTCACTTCAGAGCATGATTTTTTTTTTTTTTAATTATTTGAAAGGCAGAGTTCGAAGAGAGAGAGAGTTCTTCCATCCACTGATTCATTCCCCTGATGGCTGCAATGACTGTGGCTGGGCCAGGCCGAAGCCAAGGAGCCAGTAGTTTCTTCTGGGTCTCCCACATGGGTGTAGGTGCCCAGGGACTTGGCCCATCTTCCACTGCTTTCCCAGGCGTGTTTGTAGGGAGCTGGATCAGAAGTGGAGCAGGTGGGGCTCAAACTGGTGCCTATATGGGATGACAGCACGACAGGCTGTGACTTAAGCCACTATACCACAGTGCCAGTCCCAAGAGCATGATTCTTAAGCATTATGTTATTTTGCATCCTAATGGAAAATAATATTAATTGTCATAATTAATTTCAAGCATTTAATTAGTAGATCTGTAAACAACCTTAAAAACTTGCCAAATAATTACAAAAACTAAAAAAATAAAATATCAGGCCACATATATCCTTTGGGCTTTTTTAAATAGTTTGTAGATGTGGTGCTTAAATGTTTTTTAACATTTCAGTAAGTTTTGAATAGCAATAGCTTATGCAAGGAATACATCACCAAGAATTTCTAATTCAAAAATCACAAACAATATACTCCAGTTCTTGCATAGGATTGAGAATAAAGTTGAAGGGATAGGTTTCTGGAAAACAAATCTACATATATTGTAAGATAATAGGCCTATGTTTCATTGTGGGTGCTTCACTTTATTCATAGTTTTAACATATATTTAATTTTTACCCTAATATTACAATGTTTTCAGGGCATTTTTTCAGTATTGGTACTAATACCACTATTTAATAAACATTTAGGTAGCATTAATTTATCTTAATATAATTTAAAGTATAACGGTATGTTATTTTAACATTTACTGTTTCTACAAATCAGTTTAAGTTTTTCTGAAGTAATAAACCTTAATGTGCTTTTTTCAATTGTTGGAAGCATATCTTGTTTACAGTTTAAATTAGGCATCCAAATGACAGAGCATAAGTGTAGTTCATGGTCTCCTTGGTAGTCAGTTACTCAGTGGAAGCACCATCAGCCTTTTAGGCAGAAGAGTTCTTCATTGGCACAAGAGGATCGTTTAACTAGCGGTTAGTAAACTGTCTTATCCATGAATTTTTTTAGTGTATGGCTTAATTAGAAACATGTCTTTTCCTACTGCAGTGTAGTTATTTCTGTTGATAATTTTCTAGAACTTCTAACAGTATCAGAAGTTTTACTCATTCAGCCACATGTTCTTTGTAACTAACCTAAGAGATGATGTAGAATAAGGGCAATCAATGGTGATCAAAATTTTGAGAGAGTCCTGTGAAAAGATAAAATTAGTTTATAAAAACTTCTAAACTAATCTTATAAAAACTGTGACACTGGATTTCAAAATCAGAATTGGCATACGAATTTTTGAAAATGAAGACTAAAAATAACATTTTTAAAGACAACAAAAGTATGCCTAAAGGATGTGTACAAAATATTTGACTACTTAACCTGATTTTTCAAGCTAACTGAAAGAAATGTGGAAAACTGACAGAGGTATAGAAAAAATCCTAAACCAGATTACTGTCAACAAATAATGTTACAAAATTCAGGAAAGAATTATACATAAAAGGAAAAAATATTTTACAGGTTTGCAGAATAGAAGAAACACTGAAGCAAATAAAAAATAGATAATGTCTGTTATAAATAGAAGATAAAATAAAAACAAAATTTTCAGAATCATAAAGACGTTTTTAAGAAGAATTGAGGGAGGCCGACGCCGCAGCATAGCAAGTAAGGCTGCTGCTTGCAGTGCTGGCATCCCATATGGGTGCTGGTTCATGTCTCAGCTGCTCCACTTCTGATCCAGCTCTCTGCAGTAGAAGATGGCCCAATTCCTTGGGCCCCTGCACCCATGTGGGAGACCTGGAAGAAGCTCCTGGCTCCTGGCTTCAGATCAGCGCAGCTCCAGGCATTGCAGCCATCTGGGGAGTGAACCAGCAGATGGAAGAACGAACTCTCTCTCTCTCTCTCTCTGCCTCTGCCTCTCTGTTACTCTGTCTTTCAAATAAATAAATCTTAAAAAAAAAAAAAATGGAGCCTGGGCCTTCCCCTATTAAAAAAAAAAAAAATACCACAATGAGATACCACCCCACCCAGTCAGCAAATGATAGCAAGGCTATTGAGAAAGGGGAACTCTTGCACACTGTTGAGAATTTAAATTAGTGCAGCCACTGTGGAAAACAGTATGGAACTTTCTTTAAAAGCTGGAAATGGAATTGACATGTGATCCAGCAATCCCACTACTGGGTATCAAAAGACATGAATTGATTATATCAGAGATGCCTGCTTTACCATGTTTTTAGCGGCACTGCTCACGAGCCAAAATACAGACTCAACCAAGGTGTCCATCATCAGATGAATGGTTAAAGAAATATGGTATATATACCATTCAGCTATTTAAAAAGAACGGAATCCTGTCATTTATAACATCACATTGAGTGAAATAAACCAGACACAGGAAAATAAACACCACATGTTTTCCTTTATATGTGAGAACTAAGATTAAAAAAAAATCCCAATACAGATTATTTAATTAGTAGAGGCTTGGAGAGGCTAGGAGTTTGGGTTAAAAAATAATAAGGGGAGCTGGTTGCAGTTCATTAATTGTGACAGCGACACTAACATGAGATGTTATACAGGGAAATGAAATGGGGGAATATATTGGAACTCTTTGTATTACTGCGTTAAAATTTTTGTTTTATGAAGTAAAACTATTCTGAAATGTTTTTAAAAATATGTATCAACAAAGCATATCCAATTAGGAACCTATTCAAACAAAATGTAAAGATAGTTGCAGTTTATGAGAAAATCAGGAACGTGAGCACTAACTGTATAATTAGTATTAAGGAATGTATTAGGGTTTAAAATGTGATAATGATTTTATGGTCATGTGTTTATTTTTTTTTTAAGATTTTATTTATTTATTTGAGAGAGTTACAGACAGTGAGAGAGAGAGAAAGGTCCTCCATCCGCTGGTTCATTCCCCAAATCACAATGGCTGGAGCTGCACCGATCCGAAGCCAGGAGCCAAGAACTTCCTCCGGGTCTCCCACGTGGATACAGGGGCCCAAGGACTTGGGCCATCTTTCACTGCCTTCCCAGGCCATAGCAGAGAGCTGGAATGGAAGAGGACTGCTGGGACACGAACTGATGCCCATATGGGATGCCGGCGCCGCAGGTGGCAGATTAACCTACTGCTCCACAGCGCCGGCCCCCGTCATGTGTTTATTAAGTCCTTTAGAGCTACACACTGAAGTATTTATGTATGAAATGGTAGGATATCTAGGATTTGCTTCACAATAGTACAGGGGAAGAAATGAATGGAGTTAGAGATGAAATAAGGTGGTCGTGAGTTAATAATTACAGTTGGGATAGGTATATGAGGGTTCGTGATAACATCTTGTCTTATTTTCTGCAGTTGAAATTTTCCACAATAAAAAAATTGAACTCTCTTCTGTGGAGTTTACATTCTAGTGAGTAGAGCTCATGGTCCCAAATCTTACAAACCCAGGGATTGGCACTCTGACTATAAAGGGCTAGACATTTACTTTAGCCTTTGTGTACCACATAGAGTCTCTGTTGCATATCCTTTTGTTCTGTTATTGTTCTACCCATCCTTTAAAATGTAATAACTAGTTCATAGTTCTTGGACTATACAAAAGCATCCCATGAGCTGTTGCAAACCATTGCAGGTATCATTGTACCCTTTTTTTGAAAAATATGTTAATTCAGAAAGCTACAGTAAAAGATACATCAAAATATTTGTGAAAAAAATTTAATTTAAAGATGTTTATTTTGTTGACAAAATATTTGAAATCTACAAATAGTTGTTTCATAATATGCATTTCTATGAAAATTTTAAAACCCCATTGTATGCATGGATTTCAAAATTTTTTGCACAAAAATAAACTTACCTTTTAATTTCTTTTTGAAGAACCTTCGTATGTTTCTTGAGGAAGACTTCTGAAGTCACCAACAGCATTTCTGCTTCTGCTATTTGGAGAAAGACATAGAAACAGAGTTTGACTGTGTTGCGAGCAAGATTTAAGAGTGATTATGTCTGTATTTTTTCTATAGGACTTATTCACTTGTTCTTTAATCCCTACAAGCAATGCTTATCATTATCTATTGCTAGGATTAGATTTCAAAGTAGGGCAGCACTTAATACCCTTCAGAAAACTAGAAGGTAGTTGATTGTCTAGTTGGCTTGCAAATAGCACATCCCTGATATTTTCATACTCTTTTCTTTGGTTTCTCATTTTTAGGTTGTCATTCTCTTTAAATCATATATTCCTTTAATGTGGGAAACATTGTTTTTCATTAATATGCATTCCTAGCCTGCTTTCTTTTAGCAAATTAAAATAGCAGATACTCAAACATTACTAAATAAATGTAAAACTAAATTGGGAATTTTTCTGCTACACCAAGCTGTATGATTCTTAAGGAAGTCTGCTCTATTTGCTGTCATCAGTCCTTGGGCTCTGCAAGATTTAATTTTGGTTCTTCCAGGATGTCTGTTCCTGGAAGCCTTGGCTAAATTTTTAGGGAAGCATTTATGTACATGGGATATCTCTCCTCCACATTCCAGGAAAATTATTCCCTTGTGATGAAATATTATATTGGCAAACCAGCTTTCTAGGAAGTCTGTAATAAAAATAAATTCACCAGTTTCTTCCAAAAGTACTTTAATATCCATGATGTTTTAAAATGCACATATATAGCAACATATGCTAGAGCTTAATAATACATTTAATTAAAAATAGTAATTTTTTTTCTGATTCAGGAAGAAATAGATAAACTAGTGGAGACCACAGAGTTGATGACTGGGAAGATTCAGAGCCTAAAGAACAAAATACAGATTCTGGCAAGTGAGGTAGAAGAGGAGGAGCAGAAGGTAAAACATTTATTATTGTTAGAGTAAAAGTATTGCTAAACTTTGGGTGTAATTTTCAATGTTTAAATTTTATCAGAACTCAGAATCAGCCCTTGAGGCATTTGGAGCTGGCTAAAAAGCCCATGAGAGTTTCTCAGGCATGGAAAGCCAAGACACTGTGACAAAAAATGACCTAAATGAAAGATCTCTGTGAGTGAGATCCCAGTGGAAAGAACGGGCCATCAAAGAAGGAGGTACCTTTCTCTGAAGGGGGGAGAGAACTTCCACTTTGAATATGGCCTTGTCTAAATAAGGTCAGAGTTTGTGAACTCAAGAGGCTTCCTTAGCCTTGGCAGCTCATGACAAGAGCTTCTACCTGTCAAATTAAAAAAAAAAAAAAAGGGCCAGTGCCGTGGCTCACTTGGTTAATCCTCCACCTGCAGCGCTGGCATCCCATATGGGCGCCAGGTTCTAGTCCCGGTTGCTCCCCTTCCAGTCCAGCTCTCTGCCTGAAAGGGCAGTGGAGGATGGTCTAAGTGCTTGGACCCCTGCACCCACATGGGAGACCAGGGAGAAGCACCCGGCTCCTGGCTTCAGATCGGCGCAGCGTCAGCCGTAGCGGCCATTTGGGGAGTGAACCAACGTAAAGAAGACCTTTCTCTCTCTCTCTCTCTCTCTCACTGTCTGTCACTCTACCTGTCAAATAATAAAAAAAAAAAAAAAAAGAGTCTCGGGTTATTACTGATATTATAAATAAGAGTGTCAATTGTTAAATCAACAACAGGAGTCATTGTGCCCTTATTCCCCATGTAGGATCTCTGTCCTTAATGTGTTGGACTATGCAAATTAATGGTAAAAATAGTCTTCAAACAGTACTTTAACTTTGTGTGTCTGTGGGGTACAATCTGTTGAAATCTTTACTGTATAAAAAGATAATTAAAAAAGAATCTTAATGAAGAATGGGATGGGAGAGGGAATAGGAGATGGGATGGTTTGAGATGGGAGGAAAAACCGCTATAATCCAAAAGTTGTACTTTCGAAATTTATATTTATTAAATAAAAGTTTTCCAAAAAAAACTTGTCAGAATCACTTGTGAGTATAATGAGATGAGAGAAATAAGCCTTTTGAAATAATCTTTAACTTTCTTTTTCTACTTTAGATGCTTCAAATGAGTAGTAGCGGGGTACTCTCTCTTCCACAGCTTTCTCAGAACAGTCTGAAAGCACCCACACTTCAGGTAAGTACTCATTTACCATATTCACTGTACCTAATTAGTCATTTATATATCACTTATATATATATATATATACACACACACACATATACATTGATATATATATATAAACATATCCTATTTCATCACTAGCTGTATAACATTTGATTACATGATACATAATACTATGCTTTGTAAATTACTGATAGAAATAATTTTTGTATTACAGATAATGCAGGGTACACCCTTATTACTTATATCTATACATTTGTACATATGCTAACTGTAAGATATCTTTCTGGAAGTAAACTTTGATGGTTATATTTGCATGTTTCTAATAATTGCTTATAGCGCTTTATAAGATAGCACTGCATTATTTGTAGTAAATTCTACACTGATACTTTTTATTTTTCTTCAAAGGATCTCAGTAGATAGTGTAGTGTAAATGATTTTAGCAGTTGAAAATCATCATACTTTCTCAAAAAATAATTCAGGATTTTCCTACCTATAATCCATCAATAGGACTAAGGACAGGGAAAGATAGATTTGAAAAATGAATGGCTGTGAGTGGACAGTTACTGAAGTTGGGTGATGTGTACTAGATTATTATACAATTCTCTCTATCATACATTTGACATTTTTCCTAATAAAATGTTAAAATGAATTATACTATCTTACCCACAGAAAGAAATTTTGACACTAATTCCAAACCAGGATGCTCTCCTAAAGGACTTGGATGTTCTTCATACTTCATCCGAGGTGAAAAACATGTTAATCTTCATCGAAGAAGCCTATAAGAAACTAGAGACCTCTTGAAGAATTTTTTTATATGTTCCATATTAAATTTTTACTTTTGAATTTGTAGTTGTTAACATATACTGATATTATAAGCACTGAAGCTTGTTATTTCCTAATATGCACTTTAAAATTAACTTCTGGAAGCAAGTGTTTGACTTGGTGGTTAAGACCATTGTGCCCCACATTGTAGTGCCTACGTTCAGCTACCTTCTAGCTACAGCTTCCTGGAGTTCTATCTCTAGTTTTTCGTCTTATTCTTTTTGACATACTTATGTTTATTTCGACAGGCAGAGTGGACAGTGAGAGAGAGACAGAGAGAAAGGTCTTCCTTTTGCCGTTGGTTCACCCTCCAAATGGCTGGCCGCGCTGCGGCCGGCGCACCACGCTGATCCGATGGCAGGAGCCAGGAGCCAGGTGCTTTTCCTGGTCTCCCATGGGGTGCAGGGCCCAAGCACCTGGGCCATCCTCCACTGCACTCCCTGGCCACAGCAGAGGGCTGGCCTGGAAGAGGGGCAACCGGGACAGAATCCGGCGCCCCAACCGGGACTAGAACCCGGTGTGCCGGCGCCGCTAGGTGGAGGATTAGCCTAGCCTCTATCTCTAGTTTTTCATGTGCAGATTTTGGGAATCATTCATGATGGCTCAAGTAGCTGAGTCCCTGCAGCCCACATGGGAGACCTAGATTGTGTTCCTGACCCCAGAGTTTGGCCCGAACCCATCCCTGACTGTTGTGGACATTTGGGAAGTAAGTCAATCAATCCATCCATCTATCTTCATCTTAATTAAATAACATTTTAAAAATAAATTAAAAAATAAAATTAGTCTCTGTAGTTCTATCATTAATATCTAATATAGTCCTGAACTTTTTTCATCAATTGCTAATCTAATAAATCAGTATTTATATTGCTATATCTTTAATTATTTGCCTAAAACTGTAAACTAAAAATAGTTATGATCTTTTTGTTTGGAATTCATTTATTGGTTACCATAGAGAACTTAGGATAATATAATTTAATATATGTAAAGTGTTTATGTGGTGCCTGATGAATAAACCATAAGTATTTGCTATCACTCATTCTATAGCTGCAGTTTCTTTCTGGTCAACTGGAACATGAGAAACCCTCAAATGCCTGCACTATGTTTCCTAATTCCTTAGTCTTTATGTAGAGTTAAGGTTTGTTGGGTATTTTTAACTTCGAAGGTAGCATCAACATTTTATTTACTTTTTTGGTTGGTTAGTGAATAGATATTGGATGTTTGTTTTCTGCTGCTTTCAATGCATGTTTTCACTTAAGAAAATTATTAAAAAAGAATCTATGCACATTTATCCACTTAAAACAAAAACCCTTGTCTGTCATTATGATAATAAAGTTATACACATAAATACAAAAATTATGATTTAAATATATCAGAAATCATGCCTAAGCAATATTTTCTTGGTTATTTTTACCTACTTGTAAAATAAAATAACTGCAATTTCTTATTATTTGGCCGAAAATATTTTGTCAGTTAGTTTAGAAAGTGCCATGATTCTGTTAATACTCTTCAGGCAGAGACCATCAGAAACACCTCTGTAGTTAAACAAGGTGAGTTTAATGGTTGTTGTAATGGGAAAGACCACATGTCATGGGGACTCTCAAGCATCTCAGCACAAGAGTCAAAAGCAACTGGATCTCCATATGCAGAAGTATGACACAAGATCCCTAGCTTAAACTTTATACAATAATCCACTCAAAATAAATCAGAGAACTAAATCTATGACCCAATAACATCAAATTACTAGAGAATATTAGGGAAACTCTGCAAGACATTGGCATAGGCAAAGACATCTTGGAAAAGAACCCAGAAGCACTGACAATCAAAACCAAAATTGATGATTGGGATTACATCAAACTGAGAGGCTTCTGCACTGCAAAGGAAACACTCAGCAAAATGAAGAGGCATCTGACAGAATGGGAAAAAATATTTACAAACTATGCAACTGATAAAATGTTAACATCCAAAATCTAAGAATCGCCTAAGAAATTCAACAACAACAAAACAAATAGTCCAGTAAAGAAAAGGGCAAAAGACTTGAACAAGCATTTTTCTTAATTTTTAATTTCTTAATTTTTTAAAAAAGATGTATTTATTTATTTGAAAGGCAGAGCTACAGAGAGGCAGAGGCAGAGAGAGAGAGAGAGAGGTCTTCCATCCACTTGTTCACTTCCCAGATATTCCCACAACAGATAGAGCTGGACCAATCTGAACCCAGGAGCCAGGAGCTTCTTTTGGGTCTCCCATGTGGGTGCAGGGACCCAAGGACTTGAGCCATCTTCTACTGCTTTCCCAGGCCATAGCAGAGAGCTAGATCAGAAGTGGAGCAGCCAGGACTTGAACTGGCACCTATTTGGAATGCTGGCATCGCAGTTGGTGGCTTTACCCCCTACTCCACAGCACTGGCCCCAGGCATTTTTCAAGAGGAAATTCAAATGGCATTTCACTTCACCCCAGTTAGAGTGGCTCTCATACAGAAATCAACAAAAAATGCTGGTAAGGATGTGGGGGAAAAGTTACCCTGATCCACTGTTGATGGGAGTGTAAACTGGTACAACCACTGTGGAAGACACTATGGAGATACCTCAGAAATCTGAATATAGACCTACCATATGATCCAGCCATCCCACTCCTGGGGACTTACCTAAAGGAAAAGAAATCAGCATATAAAAGAACTATCTGTACCCCCTTGTTATTTGCAGCTCAGTTAACAATAGCTAAGATATAGAATCAACCCAGATACCCATCAACTGATTACTGGATAAAGAAAAATGCAAAAAAATGAAATTCTGTCTTTTACAAAAAAAATGAATGCAACTGGAAACCATTGAACTTAGTGAAATAAGCCAATCCCAAAAAGACAGTTATATATTTTCCCTGATCTGGGGTAACTATTAGAGTACTCAAAATATAATGTATTGGAGTGAAGTAGACATGTGGAGATGACTGTTTACATGATGATTGTTTACAGCCCTTGTCTCTTCTTTTGAGGAATAGCATTTTCTTCTTCATTCTATTTGTTGAACTCTGTACTTAGTGTAGGGTTAACCTTATGAGTGTTAAGTAAATTGAAAATAAATCTTTGTAAAAATTAAGTAAATTGAAAATAAATCTGTAAAAATTAAGAGAGGGAGTAGGAGAGAGAGGAGGAAGAAGGCTTGGAGCATGGGTGGGAGGGAGAGTAGGGTGGGAAGTATCACTATGTAACTAAATATTTATATATGAAATACATGAAACTTGTATAACTTAAATAAATTTTAAAAAAATAAAGCAATATCCTCTTGGAAAATAATGCCAAAGAAGACCATTAATAGATGTTAGAGGGAAAGAAAGTCTGAAGGAAATTAAGCATGGCTAGGCAACTGAAAGTAAAAGATATTACAAAATGTCTTGAAATCCTTTCACTTGGAAACCTAAAGCTTCCATATTTCTAGAGTGATTAGTCAAATCCTAACTAATTTTTATCATTAATCATGACATGTATAGTAAGTTTTGGTCAGAAGAAGAATGTGCATTTTATATGTCATATCTCTCAGAACATCAGTTTAACAAATTATGAAAAGTCAACCAAAATTTTATTTGCCTCTGTTCATATCACCACGCATAAACTGGTCATGCTGCCCTGTTGTGGCTTCAATATGTATATGATCTAACTTTGAGGAATCTACAATATTTTCTTTAAAGGTGACATTTTGATACACTCTTTTTTGAGTGTGAAGAATTTAAGGGTTAATTACAGATCTAAATTAATTTAGATTTCAACTGCACATGGCCCTAATAATTCAGAATGCATTCTTCCTATGTAGTGCCCCCCATGTAAGTTCTCCTGTGCACTGGCCATGCTAAATACTCATATGGGACCGCTCTTCTCTAGTAACCGAAAATGTAAATGCCAGAAAGTTTATATTCTAAGATACATTTTATGGAAGAGGGGAAAATGTAGCAATTGATACAGATAGTGTTTCAAATGAAATTTGGAACTATATATAAGCAAATTCAGTCAATTGTCCTGAGAAAACTAGCTAACCATACAGCATGAGCAGCTTCTTAATGTTAAATAGAGTCTAAGTAAAGAAAATTCCATATAGTAATAGAAACAAAAAACTGAGTAAATAGTAGGTCTCAGTGTACCAAAAGCCTTATGTGCATGTAAATTAAAATTATAAAGAAAATAAAATATTGCATAAAACTTGGAACATTTTAAAGTTAAAATTTTCAAAATAACTAAACCAAACCAAAGGCAGCATGGAGTAGAAAATACCCACAACATATATAAAATAAAGAAATCAAATCCCTGTTAGTGAAGAGTCCTAAGAATATCAGTAACAAATAGATTACCAACAGCAAAATGATTAATTCTCAAAAGAAAATTTATAAATGGCAAGTATTTGAAAAATGACCAACCTTATAATAATCACATACATCCCATTTAAAACAATGAAGTATTTTCACCTATCAGATTGACAAAGATTGGGGGGGTGGGGACCTAGAAGCCAATGTGGCATGGAAAGTAAAGCCACTGCCTGTGACAGTGGCATCTCATAGGTGCAAGTTCCTATGCTGGCTGCCCTACTTCTGATCCAGCTCCCTGCTGCTGGCATGGGAAAGCAGCAGAAGATGGCTCAAGTGTTTGGACCCTTGCCACACACACGGGAGAACCAGACGAAGCTCCTGGCTCTTAGCTTCAGTCTGCCCCAGCCCTTGCTATTGCAGCCATCTTGGGAGTGAACAGATGGAAGATCTCTCTCACTCACTGTGTGTGTACGTGTGTAACTCTCAAATAAATCTAAAAAAACTGAAAGAGAAAATTTCTGAATATATTGGAAAGTGGGTGCCTAGTAATCCTGAAGGAAGAGAAATACATGACAAGAGACTGCAGATATTCATGGCAGACCTTAGTGTAATGTCAGTCATCTAAAACTCTTTATGTATGAGCCCTTTCATTTTCTCCTACCCTCTTATATGTTTAACAAACAGGCTTTGTTTAAATATGAGACACCTGCACTGGATCCTATAATTAAGGGATTTACTTTCTTTTGTTGGTTTGTATAGAATTTTTTTCATTCTCTGTTTACCGAAAATACCCAGTTGCAGCTGGCAAAATTAGTATTTGAATTGTTCAAGTTGGGTTAGTTTCTAAGCATAAGCCTTGTAAATCCTCTCATGTTTCATTCATTATCAAAAAATATTCAGCTTTGAGAAAGAGAAAGGAAAGAAGAAAAGCAAAAGCAGAGAGAAATTCAGATTTCTCAGTTGGGCTTTAACCTTTCTAACATGACTGAGCATTTTTTGTGTTCGGACTAGTTTTTCTTGTTAAGGGACTAGTGAATGTATTTCTTCTTTCCTAAGGCACCATGGAACCACTTTCTCTTAGCCTTGCTGTTCGCTGTCCTCATTACTATGGTCTCTGCTGTGAAGTGCTAGCATATTAAAGATTGGTTTGAAGTGGCCGAAGTTGTTGTTAAGATTGAACAAAGAGAAAGATGATGAAGAGACAGTATTATTTGCATCCTGCCACTTTCCAGTACCAACTGCCATTGTATTACTTATCCCAGTGTCTTATCCAGTAAAGAATGTCCCAGTATTTCTGAAAGATCAAGAGGACAAACAGTACCCTCCATTTGGCCACATTCAAATTGAAGTACACCGTATGTCATTGAGGCATTTGTATTGCTTTTATCCCAAGACAGACTTAGGTATTGTGTGCTGAGTTGCCCAAGTAAGCACTTAGATGGCCGTTGAAATTACAGCCACTTAAGGGAAGTGAATAAATTCTGGATAAATTTTCATTTGAAACAATATGGTAGAGGAATTAAGATTCTCACAACTATTCTCAATTCCACAAATAACTGCTTTAAACATTAAACTCTTGGGAATTTCGTGCAGCAAAATCATTTTCTTCTGAACAGATTAAAATAACTCAAGAATCAGTACCTGTATCATGTTTCCTTCTCCTAACCCGCATTTGCCTGGTATTCCCATTCCTTTTTATTCTCTTCCATGAGATCCTGATGAATGGATAGCTTTTGTGTACAGAATACATACATCTCTAAATAAAGATCAGTATTCATTGACTTTTACACTATTAGCCCAAGTGTGATAGGAAGAGATGAAATGAAAACACTTGTGCTGTGTTTGGGTGATTTTCACCTAACTGATCTCATACGCGCCTCCCCTTACACAGGTGTGGGCACTTTTTTCTTTTCTCCCTCCCTCTTTTTCCCACTAAGGACTAATTAGGGAAGTAGCCTAGAAGTATAAATTTACCACTGATACTAAAGGAGCTATTGCACACTAGTACACAGCTTAAAGACCTCAGTTTCAGATTGTATACTCAACAACAGGTAAGTATTTTT